GTATAGCCAAGAGCCTTGGGGCAGGAGGGTGGTTTGTTAAGTGCCTCTGGGCACTTAGTTCGGGGAACTGGATTCACTGACCTACGTGAAAATATAGACCCCACGGTGTTAAACTGATCCTTAAGGTTAGAGACTAAAAATCTTTATGGGAGCATTTTTCTCCCTTGAAGCAGTTGAGATAGGTTTACACTACCAACCTTTTGGTTAGCAACCCTGTGCACAACCTGCTGTGCCACTGGAGCTCCTTCGGGTATATTCCATTTTCCCCAAACCTTTGGATGCCCTCTTGTGTGAGTGTGTCTGTGTATGTGCAACCTAATCCAGAAGGCAATACGTGAGAGTAACCTCACTAAAACGCTGTATTACTTAAGGGCACAGTGGCTTTTCAAGTGAGTTTCACTTCTTTCTCCCTTAAATAAATGAACATCAACCTAATTGAACTCATGTTCCAATAGTCCTTACAGATAAGGAAAACATACTTTACAGCATGTCCATTTGCAATAAAAAAAGAAATCCAATGTAATATTTATGCACACGACTGGCTCACAAAAGTGACTGGTGCACAGTGAGACCTGACCCCAGGTCTGATTGACTCCAGAGGTTCTGGCCTACAATGGGGCTCATTTTCAGTCCCTCTTTGTCCTGAAGGCTGGCTCCCTGATAGAAAATACATGCTGCAATCAGCTCAAAATTTGGATCCTTGCTTCCAGAAGTTGTCTTCATAAGCTGAGGAATCCACAGCAAACATCTTGTACCTCAAAATCCTGACCAGGACCTGCAGTTGACCCCTGGACTATTCACCATGGCCGCAGATGGCACTGGCTAGAGGCGACCAGGCCCACCCAAGAGCTGGGAGTGCAATAATCCACCCCAAACCACGGGCAGCAAGTGGGATGGTGGGATATAACTATACAGAAAAAAATGGGTGGTGGTGGTGGTAACAAATTACAAATAATTTAAGTAATATGTAGATCCAATAAACATTAAAATGTCCAACCTCATTATTAATTAAAAAAAGACAAATATAACTTGTTGCTATCAGGTGTGGTGGGGATGAGGAAAAGAAATACCCTATCAGTATATGAGGAGGTAGTCCCCCCCCCCCCCACACACACACACAAATAGGAAAAAGCTCCACTGGGGAGAGCAGACCTTTTTTAGTACGCATTTCCCCCCACTAAGTGAACATCCAGCAATTCACTCTGAGTTAGTGCACCCAGTGGCATCACCTGGGAAGGTTCTGTCTGGTCACAATGCATTTTTTTGATAAAAGCAGTTTGCTTGAACCTCATTTTTTGTGATGGTAATTTAAGAGCATGCAGTTGTGAAATTTTGTTTCCTCCTCTGGAAAAATGCTGCCGAAACTGTTGTGATGTTGAATATAGATTACAAGGACAGTGCTATGGGAAACATTCAAGTGTACGAGTGATTTTCTCATTTCATAAAGGTGAAATGTCTATTGAATACAAACGTCATTCTAGACGTCTGTCAATTTCCCAAATGGACCAAAATGTCAATAAAATTCATGCACTTGTGTTCGAAGACTGATGACAGACCATTGACAAATGAGGAAGTTATCTGGACTATATATGTTGGAGCTTGGTTCAGCAAATTTTAACTGAAGATTTGGGAATGACAAGGGTTGGTGTGAAATTTGTGCCTTCCGTTCTGACTGACCAGGAAAAAGAGCGTCAAGTGGAAACATGTGGTGCTTTGAAAGAACAGCTCCAAAGTGACCCAGACTTTTTTCCCCCAGGTCATTACTGGTGATGAGACATAGTGCTATTCTTACGACCCCAAAAGCACACATCAAGCCAGTGGACGTCACCATTGTCACCTCATCCAAAGAAAGCTCGGAAGTGGAATCAAAGATCAAGGTGATCCTCGTTTGGTTTTTGATGTGAGGGGGACAGTACATTTGGAGGTCGTTCTACCAGGTCAGACTGTTCATCAAGCTTTCTATTCAGAGGTTCTGAAGATGCATGGTAACAGTGTGCAACCAAAAAGGCCTGAATTTGTGGCAGATTTGTGATTGGTTTTGCCATGACAGTGTACCTGCTAGTGCAGCGATCTCAGTGTGCGTTTTTTGGTAAAACCAGCATGCCTCCCTTGCCCCAGGCACCTTACTCACCTGATCTTTCCCTGTGCGACTTCTTTTTGCTTCTGTAAAACCAGACATGAAAGGACAGCGATTTGAAGACATAGAAGAGGTACAGAAAAAAACCGGGGAGGTGCTGTCAGCCATTCAAACAGATGAGTTTGATAATGTTTCCAAGAATGGAATCTTGACAAATCTATTAAGCGTAATGGAGAGTACTTTGAAGGTAATGAGGAACAGTAGGCAAGCAATAATAAAATACAAAGTCCCATATATCATAGAAGCTTGGCATTCCCCCTAACTTGATAAACACACCCATTTGAAAGAAAAGAGGGATTTCTATGTAAATTTCCATTTCAAAGCCCTACGTCTTAACTCAGCCCACCTAACTCTCTCTCTCACCTCTGCCCCCAACAATTCCAGGTCAAACCTACATCGAAGTCTCCAACTCAGGGCTAGAGACCTTTTTTGTCAAGGGCTGTTTAGATATGTATGTATCATTCTCAGGCCAAAGTCAGACAGTTAATTAACTCACCCCTAGTTGACAGCTGGAACTGCTTCTTCTTGATGAGAAGCAAAACATGTGGAAACTGATTGTGGTAGCAGTTGTATAATACTGCTTGACATGATTGAACTATGGAATGATATATGTACTAACTCCCAACTAATATTAAGTTTAAAAAAATAATTAAAAATAAACTTAGAACAACAAAACCCCCGATTGCTTTTGAAGCCTGCAAAGGCAGTTATAACTCTGTCCTATAAAAGTTGCTCAGTCACAACTGACTTAATGGCCGTGAGTCTGGCTTTTTGGTTTTCTCCAACTAAGGAAAAACACTAAAGACAAATAATCACTTAAGTATTACTGGTGGAATGGCCCAAAGGAGGATAACGCTTGAATACTGAGAAGACCCACAGTCTGTAGTGACCAGTCCCTCGACTCGAAAAGGGCATCTTGTTGGGTAAAAGAGACGGTCCCTGAAAAAGAGGATGGCCCTCCACGAGCTAGATTAGCACAGCAGCTGCAGAGGCTGCAACGATGAGCTCGAATATAACAGTGTGAGGAAGGCCCAGGACCAGGCAGTGCAGCATCCTGTTGTACAAAATCTTCGATTACTAAAATGACTGATTTAAGCATCACAACTACTTCACTTGTGAAAGCTCCTTCGTTAAATAATAGATCCAACAAAATAGCCAAATAAAACATGCTAAGATTTGAATGACACTGTATGTACCTTGTTCTTTAGCTGAGAATCAGGGAGAAATGTTGGATACCTCCTACACAAGTGCGTTTTGGGGAAGCAGGCTGCTTATTCAAAACTATACAAGATGACCATGTAACTCTACCATGCACTATACAAGATGACCATGTAACTCTACCATGCATTTTTTTTAAGTTTATAGTCAAGTATCTCAGGTATCCAAATCCTCACACCAAAGTAACAACACAGTGCTTAAAGATTCTTACAGCTCACAGAGCTAGAAGCAATAAAAAGAAGTGTGTCAGTCAATTCAGATGCCACATCAATACACAGATCTGAAATTTTAATGTAACACTAACAAATATTAAGCACACGCTATTAGCTACCTCTCACCAACATCATAGTAGTCAATGCTTTATACTTAGTAAAACAGTACACAATGTATGAAACCTTTAGTCGCAGGTAGGTGGTCTACTGAGTGTTAACCCAGCAGCATGTGAGGGTCTCATAGGTGCAGACATGCATTTCAGAAAGACCCCAACTTGGAGTAGATCCAGTAACACACTTGTTGCAAAACTATCTTATCAGTCGTCACTGTATACAGAAAACTAACTGCCCTGGATTAATATCAAATCTTACGGAGGAGTCTAGTGACCAGCCTTAAAAGACAAATCAATTTGTTTTGATGATTAAAATACCAGAGAGCAATGCAAATTAAACAACATGGATTTTAAATATATATACAACGTATAACAGCAAAAGGTTAGAAAACGAAATACTGTGGAAAAGATTTATTAGTCTGTACAAGTTGGTTTGGGGTATACACTATTGGCTACCTGTTACAGTAAATTATCAAGATTTTCACTGCAGCAGTATTTTCCGCACACACATCAGAATCCGGGAGCAATATGCCATTCTCAAATTGCCCTTTAGTGTTCTGTTCTGGTTTTTCTCCTCCCACACCCCAAAATACAGAGCGAGGTTTGTGAATATCAACTAGCCATTTACAGAAGCCATAAGATACAGATATTCATAAACATTATACACGTTATAATTGAGGTACTTGGACAAACACTACCGTTTATGAAAAAGGGGGGTTGGTTTTAAAATTCGTAAGAACTGCATGAGTTATCATAAATACGCTACCCACGTCCTTCCGAACCAAAATGGGGGAAATCTTTACTGTCACTGCCAACTGCCACAGACCAAAGGGCCCTGAGTCCAATGTACATGTCACAGAACAAATGCTTGAGTGAAGCGGAGTTACCCACTCGAGTTTATTAAAAGACCAAACTCCCTTAACAACTCAATGCTACTTTAAAGGCATCATCAGAACAAAAAGAGATTTAATTGTAAGTTGGCCGGGGCTACTCTTCGTGAGCAGAAGTTTTCTTTATACTAAGAGAGAATCTGTCCGCCAACATCCTAGAAAAGCTGTGGAATCATGCTCCTTGTTATACCGGAAAGAAGATGTGCCAGGTTTGAGGATAGATGTCGAGCTCCCTGTGGGCCTGGGAGGCCCAGGTTCCAAGTAATTCAGTAATCAATAGGAAAGTTCAAGCAAAAAGGAGATCAAAAGCAGACCTTGTATCAACTTATACTAAAATAGATGGATTTTTTTTAACATTACATGATAAATGTAAATCATAAAATCAAATGTACTTCTAAAGGGACACCTATTTTATGTTACATTTTTTTTAAAAAATGGAGACTGCAAACTGTGCATGCTTACCGTAACATTACCTGGGAAAGCCAATGAGTGGAATTTCCTGCAACTATTTACTGTCATGATGCAAACAAATTATGTGCAAACTGCAAGGTCCCTAAAAGAGCAGTTGGAGAGTTTATGTACAGGAAGGATGTCATTATGTGATCAAATGTGTCCCCAGAGTTTATAGCAGAGCGCAGTAGCCGCCACACGCTCCTCCACCCTGGCCTTCTTCTCGGTGTGACAGCTTCACTCCTTTATTCTGGTTCTCGCTCTCCCACAGTCCAGGGGTCTGGATGATCTTTTCCACCAGTTCCTCAAAGGCACACTGCACACCGTCACAGGTTTTTGCACTTGCCTCTGCAATTCAAGGGGAAAGTCAGGGCACATTCTTTCCCAGCCACGAGGCCCGGGTTTCTCCCCCAGGAAAGAACCGGGTAAGTGTCTCAAGCACAAAACAATGGAGTGACGAGTCAACTCAACAGTCTCTCCACCCCTTCGATAGTAACAAATTTCCCCAAACTCTCAGAACGAGAGCCAATTAAAGTACACTCTTAAAATGCAGTATCTGCCCAAAGTTTTGTGACAGAATTATAAATTGTAAACCCTTATTCAAATATCATGCCAGAGTTTTCTTAATTTTCAGTGAATTCTTAACACTACCCCTGAAACAAATATCATTGTTTCGATCACTGTAGAATGGAGAAATTGCAGTTCCCAGTGAAAACATTAGTCTGGTTATTCTGGGCTGGCCATAACACAGCTCCTTGTGCCTTGATCAAGTAACCCACAACCATGAGACGGTCCTATGTGAGACTTCAGCCCACGAAACTCACAAGAACACGCTGCACTACGTCTGTCTTATGAAATGCTATTTTACCCTCACTCTGCTAAGATAACTTTCATTTCCTCATGTCCAAACTCCTCCATCTCAGCTGATGATCCATTTTATGTTGAAAATACGGAACAATCTGGCCAGCGATGTGATCATTCCATTCACAATGTTCTGCATGTCTATCCCTATGCTCTGGTTTCTCCGAAACCCAATGCAGCACTTCTACTCTGTCTGAGTGACCCAATGGCAGGCAGCAAGGTTGGCAATGTGCTGATTAGTAGCAGCCCAATAGCTACGACACCATCAAGGTTCCTTATAATTAGGCCTAGGGACTTACCAAACCCAGTGTCACTGACTCGATTCTGAGTCATCGCCACCCTGCGGGACACAGCAGAACTGCCCTGTAGGCCTTCCAAGACTATAGCCTTTATGGAGCCAAAGTCACCCCAACCGCCCTGCCGTGGAGTCAGTTCCGACTCACAACGACCCTACCGGACAGAGAAGAAATGCCCTTGTGGGTGTCGGTGGCTTTAACTCTTTACAGCAGTGGTTCTCAACCTTCCTAATGCCGCCACCCTTTCATACAGTTCCTCATGTTGTGGTGACCCCAACCATAACATTATTTTCGTTGCTACTTCATCACTGTAATTTTGCTACTGTTGTGAATTGGATGACCTTTGTGAAAGGATCGTTTGACCCCCAAATGGGTCATGACCCACAGGTTGAGAACCACTGCTTTACAGTAAAAAGCCTCATCTTTCTCCCGTGGAACAGCTACGGTCTCAAACTACCGACTTTGAGGTTAGCAGCCCAACACATAACTCACTGTGTCAACAGGGCTCCTCATCTTCACAGAAACAGGCTGTCACATCTTTCTCCAGTGAAGCAGCTGGTGGGGACAAACGGCTGAACTTCTGGTGAGCAGCCAAGCACTCTAACCGCTGCACTACTAGGGTGTTTTATTTACTCAAGGCCACCAGCAGCTCCATGAGGGCTATGAGGCTATCGGCTGCCATGAAGAGCTGCAGCCTGTGGACGGCAGTCACCTCAGTGGCAGTGGCCTTGGCTCGCACTGGGATGGGGGTCGGGGGACTGGAGGCTGGCAAACTTATTCTGTAAACGGGCAGAGTAAACATTTTAGGCGTTGCTGGCATAGGGTCACAACCTTTCAACTCTACCACTGCAGCACGAAGACAACCGTAGACAACTAAGCAGAGGCCTGGCTAGCTGCTAGTAAAAAGCAAGGCCAGAGATGGTTCATCCCTTAGTCAGCCAACCACGTCCTGCAATGCTTCGGAAATATTAATGTGCACATGACTTGCACAAAAATCTTGTTAAAATATAGACGCTAATGCAGAAAATGTGGGGACAGGCCTAAGAGCCAACATTTCTAAGACTTAATGCTGAAGCCCCTCACGCACGGACCAGCAGAGTCCAACTTCAGCCGGAGCGACTCGGAGACAATCACTGTGGCAGGCCTCTCATGAACCCTGTTAAACCCAAGGAGGCAAGGCTTAATGGTGTCCTGCCTGACTTCATTTAATGCCCTCCTATTTTATTTTAGCGTAAAGATAAAGAACTTGACGCTATGAGACTTTTATAGCAAAAGACAACTGTGAACGGCATAAATGTCCCTTTTGGGGTAGTCCTTATGAGCTGGGCTGCTAACTCCAAGGAAGATGAGGTTTTCTATTCCCATAATGAGTTCGTCTCAGAAATCCACAGGGGCAGTTCTACCCTGTCCTACAGGATTGCTATGAGTCAGAATCAACTCGATGGCAGTAAGTTTATGTGCGTGTGTTTTGTTTTGTTTTGTTGGGCGGGGATTGGTAAGGTTAAGAAGGAGTCCAGGTGGTATAGTGGGTAAAGCATTGGGCTGTGAATTGCAAGGTCAGCAGTTCAAAACCACCAGCTTCTCTATGGGAAAAAAGATGAGACTTTCTACTCCCATAAAGAATGTTGGAAACCCAGAGAGGTAGTTCTATTGTCCTGTAGGATCGCTATGAATCAAAATTGACTCGGTAGCGGTGAGTTTTTCTATTTATAAAGAGATAATTTTAGCAGAAACTTCATTTTAAAAATCATTTACTAATAAGGACAGGATAATTCTCCACAACCTACCTATAAACAACATGGAATGCTTGCGGGCAAATTTCAGACCTTCATTTCTATCAACTTCACGATTTTCCTACAAGATAAATGCAAAGATTAAGACAAGCTGCGAACTTATCATGTCAAAAGGCTACCTGTGTTTGCCTTCTTACCTTATCAATTTTATTTCCAACGAGCATGTTGACTATGTCATTTCTTGTGCAGTATGTTTCCAATTCATTTAGCCAATTATCCAGTTTAACAAAGGTGTCTCTTCTTGTAACATCATACACTGAAATGAAAGGTTGGAGCAATTTATTAAATACACATAAAAAATAAGAAGTAATGTTAACATATTTCTGATGTGCAGCTGATATTACTGCACCAGCCATTAGTGGTTTTGTTGCACTTACTGATCAAGATGGAAAAGACAAGTATATTTAAAAGAAAAACTTCAATTTGATTGACAGACATTAAGGCAGAAATGAAAATACAGTCTGTGTGCCACCTGAAAGTTAGTAATGGCTGCTCTTATTCATAATGATAAAATAAGTTGTACACATTTTTTAAATGCTTTAGCTTGTATATGAAGCAGATATCGAAGAATGATCTATGGATTTACACATCTATGACCATGCTAGTTTGTTCTTGCAAGGACCTGAATCTTCAGCTTTGAGAAAATATGTAAATACGGGATATTGATCAGCATCCTTGGCTATCACTTTTACCTTATATCATCTTAGATAATAAAGAACTTTTACAGTTTGCTTTTCTTTCTTTTTTTCCCCCCCAAACTTTATTTCATGCTTGTATTTCTTATAACTTGACAACATTATGATGTAAAAAGGAAATTCTCCCTACACTGGTCAGTATTCATTCTCCAGAGCTTTCCAGAAATATTAAGAATAGCACTTTTCAACAAGAATCCACATTTAGTTTTTAAATTCGGATTATAAATCAGTAGTATTATTAAGTGCTTTGTGCTATTTTTCACAACTGATAAGGCAGATTCTACTAAAAAAGCCAGTCTTCTAATAAACTGCAACATACGAGGGAGCTTCAAAAATCCAAATCTACTATCTCTTCATTCCATCTGCCTACAAAATTTCTAAAGTGACCTCGTATTTTGAAGCCCTCTGATAAATGCTTATCACTAATAGACGGATAGATGAAATGAATTGATCCAGTTATACCTTCATCAGCATGTGCTTTTCAACCAAATAAACTAGTCTGACCTTTATTTTTAATTAGTAGGCAAATCACTAAAAGAAAAGAAAAAAAATGATCCCCGCAGACTATGAAAATTGGAAATTTCTATAATCTATGATAAAGATACATATATTTTAGGTGGTGTATTAAAATAAATACTTACCTAATATAACACCCTGTGCACCTCTATAATAGCTGGGAGTTAATGTTCTGAACCTTTCTTGACCAGCAGTATCCTAAAAGTGCCAATCAAGTCTTGTTAAATAAAGCAAATTATAAAGAGCAGTGTCTTAATATACTGATGTAAGGAAGCAAATCAAATAGATTTATCAAAGAGATAGCAAGGCACAGCTCATTTGAAACAGTGAATTTAAATAGATTAGTTTATTTTGCTGGTAATTATTATACAAAATACATAAATACTGATTCATCTCAGAAATAGGTCCCTAAATAAAAGTTTTCTACCTATGAGTTGGCAACAACTCGATGGCAGTGAGTCTGCTTTTTTGTCTGTTTGACCAGTCTAGAGTTAAGAATTCTGCCACACATGAAGCTCACGTCATTGGCTCATGTCATTGAAAACAATGACGTCGTTCTCAGTTTCTGGCCACACGGGGAAACTTGGTCGAGGGCAAGAGTGGAGTACCATTTTTCTGCCGAGAACTATTTGGACATTTATATCACTCGAAGGCTATATAAAAATATCAACTTAAAAATTAGCCTGCTATATTTGTTAAGCCTTTAATTAACCCACCCCTAATGTGACAGCTGGAGCCCGGGAGTGTCGAGGGTGCTATGAGTCAAAGCTGACTCGATGGCAGTGAGTTCGGCTTCGTTTAAAGTGAGGCCTCCTCTATTTTCTTTGGTGAGGCATGTGATGCTCGCTGGTACAGATGATCTCACGGCCCTGTTGGTCCCGAGGGTAGGGCACTCCCCCTTCCCACTGCCCCCACCCCACCCCCGCTCATCTAGGGTGGGAAACCAAGCAAAAGCAAACAGACTGCCATGAAACCAGTCCTGATGCATAGGGATGCTTTATTGAGCAGACAGCCTCATCTTTCTCCTTTGGAGGGGTTGGCGGGGTTAAATTGCTTCCCCCCAAGTTAGCAGCCCTATGCTCACCCCATGGTGGCGCCAGGGCACCTTTCCTATTCATATATAAATATGTATTTCAATTTTTACAAGTACATGTGGAAATGAGATATGTAGAATAAGATACTATTAGAAATTATATGTGACATAGCTACACACACTCATGTATACAAGGAAGAGGGTCAAAAACTGGGAATTTTTTTAAAAAGAGATAAATTCTTTTCTATAAGCTTTTAAAAGCCACCTTGTATTATACAAATAGATAATTATATATTGCATTATCAAAGTACATGAAAATGCAGAAACTAGATATATAAAGTGGCATATTTTTAATAACATCTATTGACCAATCGTATTTAATACATAATATGTAGGTAGACTATACATAGAAGATATGGACAAAGGCATTAAATGCCTTGGTTAAATTATTTCTGGGCCTGCTGTTTATGTTGACAGTTAATGCTACATCATTTAGGCCTAACATAAAGAAATTCATCTAGCAGAACAAATAGATTACCATAATGACTGGATTTACAGTCACATGAAATGAAGCCAGTACAGAAAGGCTGAATGTCCAGCATTAAGAAGAGTATAGATCCTAAGTTGCCAAATTCAAATTTAATAAATATTTAGATTAACACACATGAAAAATAAAGTGTTCTTCTAAGTACCACTTCATCCCCTCCTCTACTCCCAAAAAGTGCCTTTGGTGTCAGCTCAGTGTAGCCATGAGAGAACCATCATTCTCTACGACCGGCACTAGTTTGTATGCTTTGTTCTATCTTGAAATATTAGGAATAGAACATATGTTTACAAAACTTAAGTGAAATGTCTGCTTCATCTCTCAATTGTAAAATACAGCTATTTACTTTATCCTTTAATCAGTACTAAAAACTGTTCAATACAACCTGTTCATTCATCTCCAGAATACTACACAAATTGATTCCTACCTTTTTTTAAAGGATAAGCTCAATAGTTTAAAATATATTTTAAAAACTCTTACCCATATTGCAAGTTTGGCTTTATTCCCATCCACTGAAATTGTTTTCACCTTAAAGTCAACACCTTGAGGAAATGAAAAATTTTATAAGCCTCAGATAAAACTTATTTTTAAAAACAATTGCCAAGAAAACCAGAAAATGTAAAATACTAGTGCCCAAAATTTACATTTCAGTTTTTCAGATATTTAGATGTAACGAAAAAAGTGTCAATGAAGTTCAGCAGGTTAGGATTCAGTCATGGTAAATGAAAACCAAATGCTTACAAAATTTGAACTTCCATCTACCAACCTACCTACACTTCTTCCAAAAAGGGAGAGGAGGGGAGGGAGGAAATATTCTATTTAAGACTGAATATGTTAGGGTGCTTCAAAAAGTTCATCATAAATGAAATTAAAAGATAACAGAATTTTCCCCAAGAACTTTTGGAAGCCCCTCATGTGTAGTAAAGGTCAAGAGCTGGGGTTCACAGTAAAGGAAGTGACCCACAGCTGACCTGTGTGCAGGAAGCTCGAGAGTAAGTCTAAGCTGCAGCAGATGGGGTCACCATGAGTCCCAGTCAGCAACAACTCTGTGGCAGGTTGTCCAATGCCAGTTCACCACTAATTCCAATTCTAAATCTAAGTGCTTGGAGGAGGAGTGCAAATCTAAGAGTCTTTCATTCCTGGTCTGTGAACATTTGTTTCATTTATGGCTTTTGAGTGGCCACCAAAGGCCATCTGTTGGTCTCTCCCTGTCCAGATGAAAAATCAAAAGCCCTACAGAAATAATTACCGTATATACTTGAGGATAAGCTGACCCAAATATCAGCATAGGTACCTAATTTTACCACAAAAACTGCATTTAAAATGTGCTGAAGAACTCGTCTTATACTTGAGTATATACGGTAGTTCAATGGACTGTGCAAACACTAGTCTTCACAACCCAGAAACCAGAAGAACTAGCTGGTGCCCAGCTAACACTACCATTTCCTCTGTAAGGGATCAGGGAAGTTGAAGATCCTTGACAGAATAGGAAATAAACGTGACACAGAAATGAAAATCATAAAAAACAAACGAGGCTTACTGGTCAGCCAGAGACTCGTGGAACCCAAACCCCAAGGAGCTCTCAGTAGGACTCAGGCTGGAAATGAACTCACCTCTTTGGCTCAATTTTCAGCCAAACAACAGGCTTATCCATAATAATAACACTAGTGAGATACGCACTTCTTAGAATAACTAACCACATGAGATCAAGAGGGCAGCATTTACCCCAGAGCAAAATTCAGAAGGGTTAGGAAACGGATGAATAGAAACAGGAAAACAAGATCAAAGTGGGATAAGCAATGTTATGTTGTAGGGATTGCAACTAATGACGTGGATCAAAATGTCTAAGAATTGTTACATGAAAATTTTACTTGCTCTAAAAGGCTTAACTCCTTTTAAAAAGTTCTCTTTTAAAAGGAACTATTTCTTTTGCTTGTTTTAATCTTAAAACACTTCTAAACCACACCAAGCCAAACTCATGCCACCAAGTCAATTCTGAGTCATAGCAACCCTGTAAGACAGTATAGAGCTGCCCCTGTGTGTTTCCGAGACTGTTTATCTCCTGACATGAGTACAAAGTCTCATCTTTCTTCCATGGAACAGCTGGTGGTTTTGAACTACTGACCTTGCAGTGAGCAGCACAACAGGTTACCCACTACACTAGCTTTATATAATATAATCAATGATCCTTTTTGACTGCACAGTTTCAAATAAATATATGAGAATAAAACAAAAGCCCCTCTAAGTAAAATAGATGCCCAACGTTCTATATAAAGCTTCTAGAAGTACAAATTAAGTCACAAAGGGTTTGAGTACCAACAGCAAAAACCAAGGCCACTGTCATCAAGTCCGTTCTTTCACAGGCCCCTACAGAACAGAAGAGAACAGAGAACAGCTCTTTGGGTTTCTGAGGCTGTAAATTGTTACACGAGCAGACAGCTCATCTTTCTCCTGCTGAGTGACTGGTAGATTTTACCTGCTGACCTACTGGTTAGCAGTCTAACACTTAACCCACTATGCCATTTACATTTGAACTCACTGCCTTCAAATGAGTTCTGACTCACAGCGACCTTATAGGATAGGGTGGACCTGTGGTTTTCCGAGACTGTAATCTTTATGGGAATAGACAGCCTCATCTTTCTCCCTTGGCGGTTTGTGTTTTGAATTGCTGACCTTGCTGTTAGCAGACCAACAGGTGACCACTGTGCCACCAGAGCTCCTGTCATTTACAACAGCAGCCCTAAAAGCCTATCCCTGCCCCTGAAAGGAACCGACATCCACCAACTGACTTACATGAGCACTAACTGTCCATGTGTCTCTAAAAGCATCAAAAAGAATGTGCAGTCTACCGCACTGGACAAAAAGAAAATGTTAGCTCATGAAATCTGGAAGCAACTTTCAGATCTTATTATCTTGTCACAATTAATTCAGAAATGTCCCTCACACATTAAATGCTTATTAGAACACCTGTCACCAATATGAGGCTATATAAGTAATTCTTGGGTGAATTCTGGTGCTTTATCACATACACATATTAAGTCATGAAAATGCACACTCAAATTGTACGTTACACCAGGTCTTTCTGTATGTCAGAGATTAAAGGACACTCTGAGGTCTTGGGCCAGGGTGATAAGGGGTTGGTAAAAGCCATGACTAAATGGCTGGGCAACAATCATTGAAAGAACGCTGCTCATTAAACCAAAAGATTCACTGCCATCAGTCAAGGCAACGCTGACTCACAGCGATCTCCTGTAACTGTACGGGAAGCCCAGTCTTTCTTCCGCAGAGCTGCGGGTGGTTTCAAACTGCCCACCATGTTGATCGCAGCCCAATGCATAATCGCCAAACCGCCAGGGCTCTGTTCATTACACAGATGAAAGAAAAATTAAGTATGAACTTTCTTTACAGCCAAACAAAAAATTTCACATGATAAATAAGGCTGTATTCACCAGGCAAAAGATCAAGTAATTTTACATTACCAAAAGTGACACCATATGTATAAGCAATATGAAATTTACATTTTCTTTAAACACACACAGGACATTCTGATGAGGAAAATGATTCAGACGTGTCTTATCATTGGTGAAGGTACTAAAGAAAGCCATTTGCCATCTTTATAGGATGTTATCAATGTTTATGCCAATAAACCTGACAACTCAGGTGAAAGAGACAACTTCCTGGAAAGAGTGAAAGCTATCAAAATTGAATCAAGAAGAAATAACGTGAAGCGCCTTAAATCCATTAAAGAAACTGAATCCACTGTTAAAACATTCCTCAAAGGCCAAAGCAAACCAACTGTCCTGGGGTCAATTTCAACCTTCTGAGGAGAGTCTAACAGCTCCCTGGAGCTTTCGAGACTGTAAATCTGCATGGGAGCAACCAGCCTCATCTTTGCCCTACAAAGTGGCTGGTTGGGGTTGATCAGCTCAGTGCTTAACCTGCTGTGCCACCAGGGTTCCTTGTGGAGCAAAGCATGAAAGGATGAACTAACAACCACTCTAAATAAACTCTTTCTGAACTTTTATGAACAAACTGAGAAAGAAGTATAAGATCATCCCAAAAGACACAGGAAAAAAGTTCCCAGCAAATTTCAATGGAGAGAACTTCCTCAATGCTAGCATCATCTGCAACTATGAAAGACTGAATGCTTCCACCTGAATATTGGGAGCAAAAGGCCATCAACTCACATCACTTCCACTTGTTGGAGTTTATGAGCCAGCACAACAAGGCAAGAACAGAAATAAAGGCAGCCAGGAAAAATTATGAAAATCCAATGTAATCTATTTAAAAAACTACTAAAATTAAAAAAGCAAGTTTAGCTGCAGGATACAAAGTAAACATGTCAAAGAATTTAATGTTATTTGTATATATGAGCAACAAACAATGGAAAATTTCATCTTTTCAAATGTTTTTTTACATCAAAAACTATGAAATACTTAGAAGTAAATCAGACACCTGTGAATGGATAAAACTGGTATATTTATACATTGGAAGCCAACTCAGCAATAAAAACGAGTAGACAGCTGATGCCCACAATAACTTGGATAAAGTACAGTAAGTATTATTGTATGTGAAAGAAGTCAATCTTAAAAGATTACATGCTCAAAAAAAAAAAAAAAGATTACATGCTCATTTCTAAAGATCCTCTGGTTCTAGCTGCACTTCTTCTGAGACAAACTTGCTCGTTCTTTTGGCAGAACATGCTATATTCAATATTCTTCACTACTACCATAATTCAAATGCATCAACCTCTCTCTGGGCATCCTTATTCATCGTAGAACTTTTGCACAAATACGAAGCAAATGGACACGGCATGGCTTGGGTCAGGAGCACCTGAATGTGACATCTTTAGGGCACTATAAAGAGATCGTCACCTGCATCTTCCATCATTGCTCGTGGCTGCACGAGTCTGAAGAGGAACTCATGGACTAGTATCGGACTTAGGGGCTAGAATGTTTCCTGACAATATAAAGCTTCTTGACCTAAAACTTTCTTACACATAGTTGAGTGTCACTGGATTTGTTTCTCTAGTCAACCCGGCCTAACAGAGGCAGGCATATAACGTCGGGTAAAGAGGGCATGTGTCCAAACCCTTGTTTGACTTCATTGCCCCAACTCTCAGAACCAAACCGGGGACAGAAAAGCTCTTGCCATGAACACAGGAAACCCATTCTGCTGTTGTAAGGAGGATTTGGGGGGTTTAACCTCAGCCTGGATTTCTCAGCGTCAAGAAGTAAATGCTGCTGACTCGGAGCTCTGTGACTGTGGCACCCTCGCCATACTACTTCCCAAGTGCACCCTCCTACTGGAGCCCCACTACTTTGGGCAACAATCACCCTTATTTTGTGGCTTGGGGTTTTAGCTGTCGTCCAGTTGAGTGAAAAATGGGAGTTGGTGTTTTAATTTTTCCCTCTCTTGTTGCTTTTGAGCAATTGCCAGAAAGCAAAAGAAGAAAGTGCCAACTTTATTCAAACCCAAAGTCCAAGAATTCTTACAACACTTCGACAGGACAGAAATTTGTTTCGCTGTCTTACTAGGCGATAAAGGTGACCTAATGCTAATATCCACAAGCCCGTTAACATTAAGCTTATTGTTTTTATTTTTCAAAATAAAATACACTTATGCAGAAAGGAATCTGATAGATATTCAAGCCACGGACCCACGTCCCGTTGTGCTCTGTGCCTGCAGTCAACAGCAGGAGGGCCATACCTGACTTCCTCCGGCTATCCTGTTGCTACATGGCAGGTCAGGCATGCCTCCACCCTTCGTCTTTTGCTTATCAATTCTGGTACCACCTGCACCTCCCACAGCACTATTATTTCTTTGCTGGGTTCAATGATTTGTTGCAATGGCCAGAGAACTCCCAGACAATACTCAACAATGAAGTCATCATTCAAAAGTGACTTGATAGCAGTGAGTTGAAATTATTAGGAGAGTTAATTGGTTATGTTAAGTCAAGATCAGTAGTCAGCATCACCTGCCCTCCTCCCCCAGGGCTTCAGCTACTGATGACAAAAACAATAAAATTTAGAACACAGAGCTGACGACAAGACTGAAATCAGATTCTTCTCCAGTTGACTAAAAATATGGAGCCTAAAACGGGAAGACCAGACATTGTCCAAGTGATAGCTCTTCAACAAATGCTTGCCTTTTGTGCTGGAACTATACTGACATCACTAGCAGGAAGAGACCTTCTGTATATTGTAGACACTTGATTCCAAGCCCAAAGACTCTCCCTGTAGTAATGAATTCACAGAGGCCTGTGTGCCCACAGGAGGGAAGCAACCAAGTACGGTCTAAGCAGCTAAGGTGCTTCCATGGAATAGTAGATGCCTTTGTGAAAATCACTAGAAATCAGGCCATGATCAGTACATATGAATTTGGTTTGGTCTCCCCGCGCCCACTAGATGCAAAATGTTCAAAGATAACAATACTAGCTAGTAATGTTGTTTCACCCTGAAATAATAAGCATAGCCAAATAACATGACAGAAACTGTTAGGCTAGAACTTTCCCCATTATGATTAGCTTATAATAATTTGATATCTTCCTCTCCTATAATTTAAACGATTTTAATTACTCTAGCTCTAAATCATAAGCCTAAATTTAAAATAAATGTTGTTATCCTGATTTTCTGAGATAATGAAAAAGAGATTCCAGATATCTTAATTATTGACCATTCTTATTGTAAAAGAAAGTATGTCTTACCCTGAAAGCAAGAATCTGTGTGTGGTATGTTTCAATACATACTGAATCTTAGTAGGAGTACATTATTACATCACAGCTTTTTTAATTGTGTGCTGATTATACAGGGACTAGAAGAACAGAAATCAATTGTTTTGCACATTTAAATCATGTACAGAGATCTTTAAGTATTTTAATAAGGAAGATAATAGAAAGCAGGCTGTAAGTAACATTATTCACCTTTACCAAGTATCATCTATTAGGTAATTTATTTCTTTAATCCAAATGCAAGGATTTGGTGGCATGTGAATGCTAACTGGAAGGCTGGTGGTTCAAACCCACCAGTCACTCTGTGGGATAAAGACGCAGCATCTGCTTCCATAAAGGCTTACAGACCTGGAAACCCTATACGGCAGCTCTATGTTGCTATGAGCTGAAATTGACCCAAGAGCACATTAAAAAAATCCAAATGCCCTAGCTTTTTCACCCCCTGTGTTACTACTATTTGAAGTCCTCAGATGCATCAGAATTTCTCTAATAAAAAATGTGATTATTTTATCTTTATGAAAAACAGTACGAGTGGAGAGATTATGCATGCTGCCATTTCTGCATATGACTCCATTTCTAATGGCTGTTTCTTTAAGAGGGAGTCTTTTGGTGACTGAAGTACATGTTCATAAGTCAGTCAGATGTGGGGATGTGGTAGAAAACCACGTGCGATTGAAGCAGTAAAATAAAGGTTGGAGATACAAGATGGACCACTGGTTTCTAACCGTTTTATCCCAGTGCCACTGTGCCCAGAGCCTCCAGATTATGCCTAAGATTACGGATGTTACAGTATGTTACCACACTGGTCCCAAAGAGTTCCGGATGGCCAGAAATCATGCCATCTCACATGAACATGTTATGCCAAGAGACTAAGCAAGATGTTTCCAGGACGAAATTGGGTGCAGTCACTATAGGCAAATGCCCAAGTCATTTATATTCTATAATAATATACATTTTTTATAATCTCTGTATATGTTCTCTTCTAAAATGGTATAATATATACTTAGATGACAAATCTGGTATGGTGTCTGTAAGGCTATAATACCTTTTGTATTAGAGTAGAAAAGTGTTTATCTGTTTCACTAAAACCAAACTGTATAAGATTTGTTACATGTAGACTTTTGTGTTTATCTTATCCTGTGTTGATTTACCTTAAATTTACAAAAGGCATGTTTAAATAAATATAATTAACTTTAACTTAAAAAAAAATACAAGGTCCAATTGGGAAATAAATTATGTATATTTGTATTAAGATACTACAATATTAGTCTTTGTTCTTAAAGCAATCTTTTTCAGTATTAAAAAAACAAACTCAAAATTATAGGGTTGCTAAAGGTGGAAATTGATCCCATGTCAGACGGTTTAAATAGTATATAATCTCAGATTATCTCCTATCTCTAAATGCTTTCTAATTTAAAAAGGGGGAATAATAATAATAATAATAAACTTCACAGAGGAGAGACCTGGCACATCTCACTGATAAGTGACCAAAATCCCATCTTTAGTAATGGGAGAAGCAGACACGCGAGGCCTCCTCTCATAATGCTGAGAGGCACATTCGTGGAATTCTTGTCGAAAATGCATAACCTGACTCAAACCATAAGGACACACTGAATAAAGGCAAGAGGAGCGCAGTGGGGAGACGATGATGACATACAAACACTGGGGCCCACACTGACATTAAAACATCAATGTTGTGAAAGACTGACTGAAAAACTACCCGAAATTAAGAGACTAAAGAGAAATGACCACTAAATGAAATCTGTGATCCTAAACTACATCCTGGACCATGTTTTGTTCTTTGTTGTATTGAACACTACTGATAAAATCTGAATGTATGAAGACTGTGTGTACATAGGGCTCTATCAATGTTGGTTTAGCAAATACACTCATTAAAGTGGTGTGAGATTAAAACGTACCTCATCTGCAATTCAGACTCAAAACAATTAAGAAAACAACAACAAAAAAGAAAACAGTACGTTGATAGAAAGGGAAAGAGAAGTGAATGATAACCAAATGTGATACATGTTAACAAGCAGGGAATCTGAGCAGGATAAAAAAATCATTTTACTATTTTTTATAACTCTTCTCTAAATCTCAAATTATTTTGCAATAAAAAGTTGGGGGTGGGGTAGAGGAACACAATACATGAAAAGCATCTTACTCACTGTATCCAGTAGATTCCACTCACAGTGACCTTACAGGACAGGGCAGAATTTCCCCTGTGGGTTTCCGAGGCTTTAACTCTGTTTCAAAGTAGAAAGACTCCTCTTTCTCCTTCGGAGCAGCTGGTAGTTTAGAATTTCTGACCTTGTGGTTAGCAGCCCAATGCCTAACCACTACACCACCAGGGCTCCTCCAAAAACCACCATGATAAGTTAATAGGAACTGTTTTCCTTGAAAATAATGCTAACGAGTATCTTCCTCTGTACATTCTTCTCCAGACCAGCTGTTGAAATTTTAGAGCTGAGAAAGAATACATTCTCTCTCCCCCCAAACTCAATTTACTGAAAAAGACTATAAAGCCAAACAACTTGCTCAAGACCACACAACTAGTCTGAGGAAGAGCCACGACCACTATTCAGCAATGTCTCAGTTCACCTACCTTTCAGTTCACCTGTCTGCCTCTTGATTACTGTCAACTCTCCAAGCATGGGACACCGAAATATAAACTCCTCACTTTTCATAAAGCCTAAAAGCTACTGTGGAAGACTGCTTCTTTCAGGCAATCAAATTTTCCTTTTAAAAGACATTCAGCTATCACTGCACCTAATGATCCCTAATGACTAATATAGATATGTACACTGCTTTTCTAATATATACCAGGCATTGTAGCAAATGGTAAAAATACAAAATTAAAGCACTGTACAGTGTAACGACATTAGGTCTAAGAAGATAGAAATCTGTGTTAATCATCACTACTAGATAGCATACAATCAACACTCAAACAATTGTGTTACTGAGACAATCCACAGCACAGGGGAATAAGTGTGTGAATAGATAACCGTAACATCAACAGTACTAATAAAGTGTAATGAGACAACAACAAAAAAGGGAGTGATTTGGCTCCAGAAAGGATTCATAGATGTGATGGCACCAAAGTTAAACCCTGAGAGAAATAGATTTCAACAGAAACAGTGAGATGGTCAGATGAGGTCGAAGGAGCTAGAAACAAGCAATTTGAAGGTATGAACTATGAGGCATTTCTACTGGATCTGAACACAGCCTTACTTACCTATTGTTGCTGCAAGTTCGGGATCAAAAGTATCATCTGTGAACCTCAACAGCAGGCTGGAAGAGATGTTAAAAACAGATTAAGAATATGACTTTAAAAAAAAGAAAAAAGAATAATGACTTTTTTTTCTTTCTTTACTGTTCTCATGAGTACTATATTTTGTGACAAATTATTAGACACAGATAAGAATAGGTGATGCGGGTCTGACTCTTAGGAATTCTGCCTCAGTTTAAGCACACACAGCAGAATTTAATTATAAAACGCAATTAAAAGAATCCCCAGAGCAAGTCTTTCGCTAGAATTCCCCAGCTCCATTACACAATTCCCTTGGATGTAAAAAGTTCTTGTTTTGTTTCTTGTCACTGTACTGGAATGTCCTTCTGAAGAAACATTGCAACACAGCACGATTAGTTGATATGAAGGAAAAGAGAATAAGACTCTCTTGGAATACAAAATAAAATAAAACGTAAAAATGTAAAACAGTCGAAACCCAGGTGCTGACAGGAGCGGAGTCCAGTGTCTTCGTGACAAGAGGACGAATGCATGCACTGGATGACAGACTGCAGGGAAAAAGAGCAGTTGGCTACAGGGGACAACACTGGAGACACAGTGCAGGAACTGTGTCAGATCTGACCCCACCACACTGAGGCAAAACACTAAGGGTGTGCAACAGAAAAGGGGAACAGAGAAGAGCAACAAAGTCCCCAGGGAATACCGAAAATAGACTTGGGGGGCAGGACGTGGCACCCCATCAGACTTGACAGGAAAAGAAGACTCTTAAAGGTCAACAAACAGACCTTGAACTATTTACAGGCTTATCTCTTTTGTTGTTGTTAGTTTTTGTTGTTCTTTTCTTATGTTGCTTTGTTTTGCTCTGTCTTGTTTTTTGTGCATATTATTATCTCTGCAGGTCTATCTAGATAAGATAGGCGGGGTAAACAATCTGAAGGAGAAAACAATGGGACC